CGGGGGATATGTTTTCGAAGTTTATTTGTACATTTACACATTCACATTCACATACACATTTCATGTGGACATAGAAACCCTTTTCACGGAGTTCCCCCCACACCCCCCCCCCCCCCCCCAAAAAAAAAAAAATACTATTTTTCTTTGTCGCTATATATTGATGCTAACTGCAACTGTTTCGAAACTTGTTGTTCGGGACGTGTGCAGGTTGGTTTCAAAATATTCCTAAACATCACGCCGACAATCGCGAACTGGACGAGCGACAATAAGTCCTTTTCACTCATCTTTGATGAGAATCCGCTGGCGGACTTCGTGGAGTTGCCCGATGATGGAAGGGCACAGGATGAGTTGTGGTTTTCGAATATTTTGTGTGGGGTGCTTAGAGGGGCATTGGAGATGGTGAGTTTGTTTATATTTTTATTTATTTTATCTTTTCATCTATGTGCTTTTGTATCTACATATATATATATATATGCTATGTCCCTTTTTCTATATTTACAACTATCTCTGCCGCACCAAAAAGAAAATTATTTTCTACGGCTGCGGCTACGGTTCTGTGGCGTTTCATTTCATCTTGCATTTTTTGTCATGGGTACCACCTCAAGTATTTACTAACAAATTTCCCACAGGTCCAAATGCAAGTCGAAGCACATTTTGTGAGCGATGTGCTGCGGGGGAATGAGACGACGGAGATGCGGGTGTCGCTTGTTCGGTATCTGGAGGACGAGCTGCCGCCGGAAGATTGAGATGAGATGATTTTATCCACCTTTATTCCCTGCTCTGTTGCCCTGTTCTCCCTTTATTTCTTCTTTCTTTTGCATGGCAAGGGTACGTGTTTATAGAGAAGACACAGGTGGAAAGGCTCAGTATGATCTAGATATTAATGATATGGGAGTGGAGTTCTTTTGGAATTGAATTTATTATATAATGGTACCACCAAAACGGCGCGCACCTTCTCTGGTCAATTACTATACTATATATATACTACTATCCATTTCCCGGGGAGCTTTCTTTGTCCGCGTACATACGTGTACTTGCTGCTATTATAATTAATTCCCAATTTCCTCTTCCCCCTTTCCCCTCGACAAGTCAAGATCCCCAGCGGATATGGAGGTCACATGATCTGTCTAGCAGTAAGAATCCCAGCTATAGCCAATGAGAGCGCAGGATAATCCTAGAGTCGATCAGTCACGTTGCTCGTGGGACCCAGGACGCCTTAAACCCAACTGGTGCCAGGGCTGGAGCATGCGGCGCAAAACTCGCCCTCTCTCCTGTTTATTGAGGCGCCGGGAGTTGGAGGAGAAAATGATTATCTTAGGTAATATTGTTGAGTCAGCCCCCTGTTCAAGTTAGTTAGCTAATGACGGAATGACGAAGTAAGCAACAAAAACAACTGCCTTGAAGTCGTATTGCATCATGGCATCCAATGGATTTTGGATGTATTTTAAAACAAAACAAGGATAAGCATCAAGTAGAGGCAGAAATAGTGGGGAGAGGGCGAGAGTAATTTGCACAGATGGTGCATGTTGGTCACCGTTCCTCTACCAAAAGTAAAAAGTTCACCGTCAATCCCTCCTTTGTCCTTCTGCGTCATTGAAATTACCTAATTTTTTCATCACTCTTTATACCTAATTCTCCCTTAACATGTAAATCGTCAGGTCCCTAGGAGCTATATGTATGCCCGACACCCCAACCCGATGACCCCGAACTCAATTGCCCAACCACGAAAACTGCCCAACTGGTCCCTCCATCCCACCGTTGATTATCTCTCGCTAACACTACCGCATTGGGTGTCGGCGCCTAGCTGAGTCATCAAACGCGCTCCTCGTGATACGGTACGTGACAGAAAGTTCCCAGGACACGGGTACAGCTGGGACTAGGATAGCCACTGAAAATAGATAATCCGGCGCCGCAGCCCGCAGTGATTTGATAGAACGAGGAGCGAGCGGGAAAGAGCGAGCTGCAACAGGACCAAGCCTTCCCCCCCAGAGACGACGCAGACAACAAACGAACCTGGCGAGGACAATTCCTACATGACCATTAGAGAGAGGGGGG